GTATCAAAAGTTATTTATAATTAGAAAAATGTCAAATTACATATATTTTAGTATGAAAATACAAATTAGCGCATACGTAAAGAATAAGCATCGTAAATATTTTGAAAATTGCTGATACTAAACTAATCAGTGCGGTCATTTCAGCTTCAGCTATCAACCGCCAAATAATCAATGTTTTAAAACAATTAAAAAAACAATAAACCGTTTTTTTTCTTTTTTTTTTTACCATCCCTAGACCCGGGTTAAAAGAAATTCCGTATAAATATTACTAATCGTAAGTTAGAAGAAGATTACTAAAAATAAATAAGGCTTATTAATAATACCGATGAATTGATGGTAAAGATACGGAAAAGCAAATTCTAAATAAATCTTAATTAAAAGTGACGGGAATATAGCTTTACATAATAAGCAATTTTATTTTTCCTATGATTTCTTACCATAACGCGTTCAGTTTGTAATACGCGCAGCAATACTTTAAATTGTCTATATATAAGGTCGTATTTTAACATATCAAATAAATTTTTTTACTTAGTCAAAATGACATGTTTTCGTGAACTTGGTAAAACTGGTGTTAAAATCCTAGTTATTGGACTTGGATGTATGGTATGAAATTTAAGCTATATACTTATTTTAATGTACATATGTGAATAACTAAATAGATATGATTTATTTTAATTAAGGGAATGAGTGACTTTTATGGACCAGCTGATGAGGCAGAAAAGTTAAAAGTATTAAACCACGCACTCGACATAAAATGTGTCTTTTGGGATACAGCAGTAGGTGTAATTTTAACCATGCTGCATAGTTAGAGCAATGACAGATATTACCTAATATCCATTTACTATAAAGCTCCTATATGATATGATATAACTATGCAAGTTATATTATAACTTAAGATCTTAGCAAATCCTAAAGATATTACCTAGAGTTGGGACCCGAAACCTTTTTGGCCAAATCTGAAAGTTTCGGGTTTCGGATTATAGATTCCGAAACCTCTTCCGAAACCCGAAACCCAAAACCCTACCCGAAACTCTAAAACTCTTCCCGAAACCTCAAAAACCCTATCCGAAACTTTTTAAATACTCAAAACTATCAATCATTATGTTAACATGCGAGATAGTCCCAATTATTATGCTAACATGCGAGATAGTCCCAATTATCATTATTAAATATTAAATTATAATTTTTTATTAATATTAATTTATACGTATTATATATATTGAGATTTTTCCTTAAGGTTTTTTTTATCTCAAATATACATAATATGGGTGCGGTCAAAAGAAAACCTGCCATCGGGCTTTCAAGTATATTTTGTGTACAGATCGTATCCTGTGTTCCATCTATAATAAA